CTCGCATTTGTATATAGGCATCTAAAATACTGGTTTGATCTTTCCTCCCAGTTTTGAACTGACCCTCCTTTCTCTCTGCCAATATAGCCCACACTCCCTCTCGTTTCTGACCCATCTCCCCGGTCTCCATGTTCCCCACTTACTTGTGGGCTTTGCTCACCTGTCCCCGTCGAACCTAGATATTCTATGGGAAGCTAGTGTAGACAGCAGAGGACAACTTTGAGGTAGCGTGGGTTGCTGAGAAGATGGTGCAGCTGTATTCTGTATTTTGGACTTCTTTAACTAAACTGATTTTAAATTGATCAGAGTTTACAGTTTCGTAAGTGCATCTACACTAGGGGTCTAACAAGACCAATTTTACTTTCCATTTAAAATTGGAATTTGTATTTTAAAACGGATCTAATTATACCACTGAAACCCCCCCAGGCTTCAGCAAGATTCAATCAACATAATGTTTCCAATGACTGAGTAGACAGGGTAGTGGATGCCACTATGTCTTCCCACGGTTAACATTAGAAGAGCTGAACTGGTTTTAGTGACAGTAGCCAGAGTGAAGTCATTTCTCCCATGCCCAGAGAGACTTCGCTGTAACCAGAACTGCAGTTGGCACATGGGAAGTCTTAGCTTGTTTAATTCTCCTTCATATAAAATGAAGATTCACACTAAGCAGGTTCCCCTATACATATGAAGATTTATTTGTGTATTAGTTGCATAATTTATTTTTCATGCACATTTACAGCATGCAATATAATGTCTTCTCTCGAGCCAGTAAACTGCTGTGAAAGCAGATTAACAATCACGCAGACTGTACTATAAATCCATAAGACTGATTGCAAAGCAAAAATCCTCAGGAAAATAGCCTTTGAGCATGCAGGTACTGTAATAAATCTCACCTCTTTGGTACAGAGGGTTCTGAGTGGGAGGGGCGGTTGCAGTAGAAATGAAGTCAGTTTTATTTTTGTATTAAAGCTGTTTCTTAACCATAGGAGTGCAAACAGCCTCTATAGCCTTTATGTTTCTCTTTATTTTTCCTCCTATAGCTTCCTTGTGGATTCAGTTTCTCTTCCATGGTTTGTTTAGTTGATGACGATGTGATCAGTTGCTGGACCCCAACTAACTCACTATATATTTGAAATTCTATATATAGATAGGTGCTTGTGTTCCACTTCCACCACAACTCCTAAAAAGGACGCTGCCTGGATTAAAACCAAATGGAACATGGCATGCTCTCAGTGGGGTGTTTGAAGCTCGTTAAAAACCATTTTCTTTTAATTTTTCATAGCTGGTTCCAGAAATGCTACAGGTACATAGCTTGAGTACTTTGCTTCCAGATAATTCTAAATTAAGTTAGGGAGTATAAAACTTGAAATAAAGATACAGCAAAAAGTGCTGAGATTACATCTGAACAGTTTCATTTTGTTAGTATTCAGTCACCCCTGCATCAAATGCCAAATTCTCCAGAACGCATGTATGAGTCAAGCATCTGAAATTAGAATTAAACACAAACGACTCTTACATCATTCACTGTGCAAAGTATAAAACAGGACGTGCTGAGAGCAGCTGTAGCATGGAATGTTGATAACGACAAGGATACAGATACACATGCCACTCTTGCTGACATCATCTGGAGTTATGTGTGTATATTAGGGAAGAATCTGGCCCACTGTATGTGGAGAAACTCAAGAATTGCTTTCAGTTCTTAACACTAGACGTTCTCTCCTCAGTAGTGGCTATAGAATAATTATCTTCTTCTCTGACCATTGCTTGAGGAGAAGTGATTGGGACAGGATACAGAAAGCTTATGCTGATTTCTGCAGAGCAGCTGGTCAGGCAGCACTTTTCAATTCCTGCTGGGGTGAAAGGGCTTTTCCAGAGTGGGGCAGTGGAGCCTAGGATCTACTAGTGAAGCACTGAGCCTGGGCAGCAGGACCCCATCCCTCCCCTGGAGTGTCAGTGCCCTTATTCCTCCTCTCTCCACATCCCAGCTCCTTCCACCACAAGGAGAGGTAAGGGGTTCAAAACATTCTTCCCTCCCCCAGCACCTTTGAACAGGTCAGAAGCAGGATAACCCTTAAAAGCAGTAAGGGGCCCAGTCCCCCAGGTACTCTTCTGTACATAAGAAAGACCATACTGGATCAGACCAAAGGTCCATCTAGCCCAGTGTCCTGTCTTCCAACAGTGGCCAGTGCCAGGTGCTTCAGAGGGAGTGAACAGAACAGGGCAATTTCTAGGGATCCACACCCTCTTCTTCAGTCCAAGCTTCTGGAAGTCAGAGGGAGATGCATTCCTGACCATCTTAGCTAATAACCATTGATGGACCCATCCTCTGTGAACTTATCTATTTCCTTTTTGAACCCAGTTATAATTTTGGCCTTCACAACATCCTCTGGCAGTGAGTTCCACAGGTTGACTGGATGTTGTGCAATGAAGTACTTCCTTATGTTTGTTTAAACGTGCTGCCTTCAGGTGATCCCTAGTTCTTGTGTTATGTGAAGGAGTAAATAACACTTCCCTGCTCTGGCTGGGGGCTCAGGGGTGGGGCCAGGGATGAAGTGTCTGGGGTGCAGACTACCCCAGAGCTGCTGTGGCCGGGCAAGAGGTGCCTCTCCCCACCACAGCCCCAGAACAGTCTGCACCTGAAACCCTCATCCCTGCCCCACCCCAGAGCCCACACCCACAGCCAGAGCCCTCACCCCAACCCTCTGCCCTAGCCCTGAGTCCCCTCCCACATTCCAAACCCCTTGTCCCCACCCCCACCACACATCACCTCCATATTTGTGCACATAACAAAATTCATTCCACACATGGATGTAATAAATCTGAGGGAACATTGCTCCCAACCTGCTCACCTTTCGTGAGTGGTCCAGTATGCTAGGCTTGCTCAGAGCACATCTACCAGATCTGGCCCCGCAGGTGAGGTAGGTGTGGGAATGCCTAGTTTGAGAATTTCACTGAGTCTTAGGTAGAAGCTAGGATCCAAGCAGCTTTACCATGGCAGGACTTTGGCAGTTTTGCACATGCCTGCTGGTGGAAACAGATGCCTGAGGAATTTAGGTGGCCACAGCATTAGGTGGCAGCTGAGCAGACATTTTGTTGATCTTAGTGGTTCCTAAATGTTGGATTTAGACACCCTAAGTCCTTTTGTGGATCTAGTCCTAATAGTTCAGCGCTGTACAACTGCATGTTCCATGCGTTAGGCCCTACCAAATTCACGGTCCATTTTGGTCAATTTCATGGTTTCAGCTATTTAAATCTGAAATTATACAGTGTTGTAGTTGTAGGGGTCTTGATCCAAGAAGGAGCTGTGGGGGGTGGATCACAAAGTTACTGTAGGGCGGGTTGCAGTACTGCTTCTGCTCTGCTACTGATGGCGCCGAACTCTGAAGGCAGTGCCACCTCCAGTAGCAGCACACAACTAAGGATGGCATGGTATGGTATTGCTACCCTTACTTCTGCGCTGCTGCCTGCAGAGCTGGGCGCTTAGTCAGCAGCTGCTGTCCTCCGGCTGCCCAACTCTGAAGGCAGTGCAAAAGTAAGGGTGGCAATACTGTGACCCCATAAAATAACCTTGCAACCCCCCTGTAACTCCCTTTTGGGTCCGGACCCCCAATTTGAGAAATGGTGATCATGGTATCTCCTCTCCCCGATGAAATCTATATGGTATAGGGTAAAAGCACACAAAAGACCAGATTTCATGGTCCATGAAACGTTTTTTAAGGCCATGAATTTGGTAGGGCCCTAACCATGGGAATATTTGGTTCAATTTAAAGGAAAAATGTATTTCAGTTTGACATGGATACAAAAAGCACAGTTTAGCTGCTGTAACACTCTGGTGTTTGTCTTTTCTGTTTTCCTGTGACATACATATACACCACCTAGTACATAGCTTCAAAGAGGATATTCATATAACTACAAATTATCTAGTTTACAAAGAGCTGTTCCTGTTTAACAGGTTTTAGTACTTTTGAGTCTTGTTTGTCAGAACTATATGAATTGAAACCAAACTTCAAGGTAACTTCTTGATCTCTGCCTTCTGGCCTGGGTTAAGTTTTTCATTCCCAGTGTTCCTGAGTTTTCTGTACAAATATTGTATTAATAGGGTTTAAGTCCAGAAGACACCACCATATCATCTAATTGGACTTCCACTGTATCACAGGCCATTACATTTCACCCAGTTACCCCTGTGTTGAGTTCACTAACTTGTGCCCGATTAAAGTAGATCTTCCAAAAGGCAGCCAGTCTTGATTTGAAAAATCAAGAGCTGGAGGATCCACAGCTTCCCCCCGTTAGTTTATTCCAGTGGTTAATCACTGGATTACTCAACCATTAGTGCCTTATTTCTCATTTGAATTTGTTTGGCTTCAGCTTCAACCACTTGTTTTTGTTAGGCCTTTCTCTGATAGAGTAGAGAGCCTTTTACTACCCAGGAAGGTATCTTTACATTGTAACCAAATCACCTCTCGCATTTCTTTTTTAATAAGATGAACTGCACCTTCTCCAATTTTTCAACATCCTTTTAAAAATGTTGACATCAACACTGGGCACAGTATTCCAATATTCTCACCTGTGCCAAACAACAGAAGTAAAAATCACCTCCTTACCCCCTACTCTCCCATTTATGCATCCATGGATCACTTTAGCTCTTTTCGCCACAGCATTGCAAATGTTGGGAGGCCATATTGAGTTGCTTATCCACTCTGACCCCTAAATCCATTTTGGAGTTGTTGCTTGTATGCAGGGGTTAGCATTGCCTCCATCACCTAACATGTAGCTATGGCTAGCCTTGTGGCTTTTCACCTATTTGAGTATGGCTGATTTTATAAGCACCCTTATTTTTGATTTTGTAGGCATTCAAATAAAGTCAATAGAGAGTTTGTAGCTACCAGGCAATTCTTTGCTTCTATTTCACGCCACTGCACTCTCCGCCCCCCAATATTTTTCAAGCTACCCATAAGTCTGCACCTCGTCTGATTGATTAATTGATTTGTTCTGGCAAATTGATTTCAGACACATTAGGGATATAGACTATTGCTGCATTATGTTTATAGAAGCAGTTTAACTTTTAACCGATAGGCTTTAAAAGGAAACCCATATTTGGTGGATAAATGCTCAAGTTTATATTGGCATCACTTACTCATTTCACTGGGCTTTGCCTCTAAGCAATCATCTTTTCTATCTTATCAGTAAGTTCCAGGAAATGTCTTCCCCATTGGTCATTATTGCTTAATTACAAGTAATAAAACTGTCTCATACTAATTGCACCTGATAATACAAAGACCAGATGCAACAACAAAACAAAATGTGCTGGACTGCCAGCTATGAAACCCACTGAGGGTCTCCAAGATTAGCTGCTTTTGCCTTATACACACTGTCACAGGACAGCAGCCAAACACAGCTTTTGCTGAATGGGACAATTAGTAAACATTTTACAGAGAGGAAGCACAGTCTTGTGATTAAGGCATAGGACAGGGAGTCAGGAGGCCTGGGTTCTGTTCCTGGCTCTGTGGCAGGTTTCCTTGAGCTTGGGAAGTCATTTACCTCTGTGCCTTAGTTTCCCAACTGGAAAATTAGGATAATGCTGCTTCCTTGGAGTGTAGTGAGCCTTAATTTATTAACTTTAGTTACATTACTGTATTCTGCTAAAAGCCATAGAAACACCAACATGCACTAGGATAACCCAGTCATAATTCTTAAATCAGGAACTATTTGTGTGTTCGTTTCTCCATTTCAAGGAAAAGTTATCAGTTCTCTAGGCTTTTCTCTACTCAGTATCATAGTGATTGTAAGAATTGCTAGTGCCATCTACTGGAAGATGTAGCATCTTTGTTTTAACCACAAGTTCATCCCTTATGATCTATAGACGGATTGTACACACACATCAGGGATCCTGGCACCAGCTATTCGCTGTATGGCTGAACCAGGATTGAGTGAGTTTTTACAAGATATTTTACAGTAAAAAAATAGAAGCATATTTTCTGAACAGACATTTTCCTTGTGTGATGCTTGTTCTGCTGCCCATCCTACACTTCCTTTAGAAGAAACCAAACCACACCACAAAATCAGCACAATCACATTAGTCTTTGCTTTGCACATCTGGCATAGTGAGATATCCCTACATTTACCCATTACA